CAATCTGAAAACGGTTCTTCTCACCTCTCTTAATGACTGCAGTGAAACGTTCTCTATATTGGATATTATTATAAACTAAAATGATCCGAGAAGCCTTTTCGATCTCATAAACTGTATTTTCCGCAGAAATTTCCCCGTGCGCCTATGAAGATATAAAGCTCATAAAAACATCGCAATAACCCAAAGCAATGTGTGTTATTACGTTATTAATAGAGGAAATGGTAAAAAACAAGCGTATCATTGGCCGTAAATTGTATTTTTCACCAAACGCATCATGCCGGACTTTTAATTCCAGAGATGCAGTATCATTTTTTGAAATGCACGTGTATTAACAGCATTTTTACAAAGTTGTAATTCGAAGACCTCGTTCATTGTCGTTCAACTGCCTTTTTGTTATAGACTGAAGGTAATCTTTAGCGCCAAGCTAGCTGTTATCTCTTATAATTGTACAAATTTCAAAATATTCCCATAGTAAGCGAATAAGTGAATGGAAACCAACCTTTTATATTGCAAGCAGAACATATAAATCTCCCATTTTTCAGTCAAAGATTAATGCTAGGAACAATTCAGTATTAGTAATTGCGATGTTAATCATAGTTCTCATGTCTGCAACAGATTTGACACAAGTAATGTACCGGGTATCACGTTCAGCAGCTTTACTGATTTGCTCGGGATAGAAAATAAACACTTATACTCTTAAGTAGAAATAGTTAACATAAACGAAAAATTTCCTTCTTGTATTTATATGGCATACACAACAAACGTTAGAACTGAAGTACCTACCACTTTTTAGTGAAACGAAGTCATGTTTTTGGCGTAAAATATAATGGACAATGCCATTAGAACAATAGTGGCAGTTAGCTGTAAGCTTTTTCTTACTAGTAATAATAAAATCTTACCTTTACAGATATGTCTTCATTTCGAACAACTTCTTTTTCTGAAAAAAAAATAATTTCATATAAATGTTTGCTAGAACACTAGTATTGTCACGAATCTAAGATTGAACAAAACTCAAAACGAAAGTAAACAAAATATTGTCAAAAGTGCCATATACTAAAAGAACGACCGAAGCATTATACTACATTAAAGAAGAATCTCAAATACAGGGTGTCCGCAAAGTTGGGGTTTTCCTTTACACGACGTGTAGATCTTGAAACATAAGCAATTTTTCTTAGTACCATATACACCAATGTCTTAAGGGAACCGAGATAAAGGGCTCTGCAACATCAAAAATATCTGAATACCGTCCTGTAGCCGCGACATCACCGACTGGTACAAGGTCACTGGCTCAACCCGACGACAGAACTGGGTCGGGGTCAGTGTTTCAGGTCAGTATGAACCTTCAAACGACGGTTACGGTCACGCGTGTAGAGGTAATCGCGTAGACGAGAATCCCTCAACAAGCACTAGAGACGAGAGCGCTAGAGAAGTGCAAGTATCAAAAACTAAAGTGTGGCAAACGCTTGCGTGAAGAGGGGCTGTATCCGTTTCACGTCCAATGTGTACAAGCCCTTCAACCTGACGATTTCCAGCAGAGTGCGGTTTTTGTGAGTGGTTGTTGCATCAACATGACAATAATCCGGACTTTTTAAAGTGCATATTGGTGACGAAGACGAATCTCCGTTCAACGCGGTAATGGGTGAATAACTTTCGCAACACTCATGTTTTGTCAGTACAAAATCCGCACGCTGTCCGTCGTGCACATTTTCAAACAAACATTTTCGGTGAATGTTTGGGCTGGCATGGTGAACGGTATGCTTGCTCATTGGACCATTTATTCTCCCAAATCGATTGGACGGGATGCAACACCTAACTTTTTACGCATCATTTTGCCTTCCTTGTTAGAAGATGTGCCATTAAGTGTAAGACAATCAATGTGGTTTCTGCGTCTGCTCGGGTAGCGCATCAGCTGATTTCATTTTCTGTTGGAGCGGTTATGATTTCGGGCAGAGACGTACTTAGCCCTTCTCGTCAACTGGAGAGGAGTACCTTTTCCTTTATTTTTTTTTACTTGATCGCCCTCGTTTCACTACTACCATTACCTTTGTTATTTCAAGGGTTAGTTGTTTCTGAAAAGGAAAACCCCAACTTTGCGGTTTGTTGTTGTGGTTCCATTGGCCAGGCAAACATGGAATCGAGATGAAACCACAGGATACGTTTCAGGTATTACATTCATTCTGCTTGAATATGAACTTTACATATTATCTTTAAGCTTCATATTTATATGGCATTAACTCTTGACAAGTATAAGCTACCTTCCCTATAGCCTGGCTTGTGGTTGCTTTCCTCTAAAATTCCACTAATAGGAATATCATCTGGGCCGAGAAGAGCAGAGCGTTCTTCTATAGAAGAACAGGCTGCAAATACCGCGCGTTGCTAAAAAATGATCAATCGTTAGGCGGTAATTAAAATTAGCTGACAAAAAGGTGGCGAGAGAATAATCTGGGTGATTAAAACGATCTCTGCCTATTCGTCGTTGCGCGTTATCTCCCTTGACTGGATTCGGTGCTCCGGTGGAGCTTTCGCGCCAAGGTTATTGGATGACAAAGAAAAAAATCATTGATGAGATCAGTGTGTTTGATGAGGGTTGATCAAGTATTACCGTTTCATTAAGCTAAATTTTATCACTAATACAGCATGAGGAGGATATCTAACTTTGTCAAATTGGAAAGGCTAAAATACTCATTTCAACTTGAGACTTTTAAAAAATAAAAAACATGTTGCTTATGTATACATTCAAATATGATTAATTAGGAAAGAGTTGAAATTCGAGGAGGAGGGACAGGGGATGTATGATAAAACCTTTTTACAAAATATGGTTATGAGATATAGTGCACAGAATGCTTGGAGTTTCTAAGCTGGATTTGACGTCGTTGGCTTGGCTGGCTAATTGGATGTTCTACTTTGATCAAAATCGGCTCCTCTGATTAGTCTTGCTAGGTATTTTAGAGAATTTCTTGTGCGCCTGATCCAGGCGTGTTGCCACACTGTCATTTGTAGCATCTCCCAAAGTATGTCATCTGGGGTGCGTTACGGAGACTGCCCACCTCTTTTATTATCTCCTTAATGTATGCTTCAGTTACTTTCAACTGTACTTCTATAGAGACATTCGAGCTGAGGCCAATGATTGATGACAGAGCGTAACCTGCTCGATTTTTTTTTTTTTAGTTCAATTAGTTTATTCAAATTCAAAAACCAATATAACTTACAAATTAAAAACAACCTTTAGTACAATTGAAATAAAAAAAGCTTCAAAAATACATGACCTTGTATACTCTTGCTACCCTGAATAACCAAGATTGCAACAGAAATCTGAGCAAAGATACTAGCATCAGATCTAGAACGAGCAAGTAACGGTATATGAATTGTGAAAATACTGTATACTTTCGTAAAGGGTAAATGTCTGAATCTTGTCGTCACAAATCCTAAATTACGTGTCTGCATAAACAATCTAAAATTCAATAACAATAGTACAGAAGCATACTAAAAACACTCAGAAGTATAAATACAGAGTACATAAAATATGAATATCTGAAATATGATAATATAGGGATATTTCGAGTAAGGTCAAACTATGTTGTTTAACAATAAAAATTTTGCGTAAAGGTTAAGCAGAGAAACAAGAGTACTACAATTTACTACAAAAGAATTTACTACAAAAGAATAGACACCTAAGCTATAAGCTTGTGTGTGTCATACAATATACAAATTCAATGCATGGCTAATGGTCATAAGGTATATTATGAGCAAAATGTATATAAAAAAAAGAAATAAAAAAAACATTAGATAGAAACGAAATTACTGAGTTGAGTCAAGCTACCGTCGATGCAAGCATGTCAAAGTTATTTAAGATGAACTTCTTAATTCTTTTTTTGAAACTATACTTCGAGAGGATTTTATATTCTAGGGGTAATTTGTTATACAAACTAATACCATCAAACTTTATGCATTTTTGGCAAACAGATTTATTCACTCTGGTATAGATGTAACTTATATTTATTTTAGTTCTTGTTTCATAAGCGTGGCTGGTTGGAACATTGTTTCGGGAGTGAACAAATTTTAGAGCAGCAAAGATATATAAACCTCTAACATTCTAAAGATCATTTTCAATGTAAACACATCTGCAACTTGTCCTACATGGGATACGAAAAATAGTCCTGACAATATAATTTTGCGTGGTTTACTTATCCCGTAAGTTAGTAGAGGACCCCACAAACGAGTTATATATTGAGAGAAGACTCTTTCTGCTTAAAATATTCCTAAGAATGAAAAACTTATGAATAATTCTCCTTAATTTCGATGCCAAAGCTCGGCATGACTCTGCCATTTAAATTACTGTCAATAGTGATTCCTAAGTATCTAACAACTTCAACTCTTTCGACAGTGTCAGCACTATCATTTATAATTAATGTGCGGTGGTGTAATGGCATGCCTGTTTTGGTTGGAAAAAAACGTTACATACTTAGTTTTAGAGATATTAAGTTTAAGTAAATTGTTATCCAACCAGCATTTGACTTTATTTAATGACAACTCGGCATTCCGTATTGCGTCATCCCATGAATGACCAGTGCAAACTAAAACAGTATCGTCTGCATATGATATCATTTTACAGTTGAAATTACATCGAAGTAGTTCATTTATGTATATGAGGAACAGTGTTGGTCCCAAAACCGTCCCCTGAGGCACACCTATTTTGATCTTTTGAATGTTGCTTACATCTGAACCCTACCTTAACTTGTTGTAATCGATCAGCCAAATAATTCTCAAATAAGTTCAGAACTCCGCTACGCACTCCAACACTTTCTAGTTTCTTAAATAAAATTGTATGAGATACTGAATCGAAAGTCTTTCGAAGATCTAGGAAAACTGCAACAGTCTTATTTCCATCTTGAAAATTTTCAAACACTTGTCCTAAAAGTTCTTGTAGAGATTGCTCTGTATTGCAATTTTTGCGGAACCCAAATTGATAGTTCGATATTATGTCATATTTCTCAGAAAAGAACAAAGTCTGTTATTCAAACACTTCTTAAATATATTGATAACTGAAATAGGTCTATAATTGAACATATTGTCTTAACTCCCAGATTTAAATATTGGTGTCACTATGCCTTCTTTAAATTGGCGAGGAATTACTGAGAATTTGAAAAAGAGGTTGATAATGTGAGTTATAGGGTGACTGATAAACTTCATGATCATCTTGATAGTTTTAGTGTGTAAGCCATCTCTTCCGGGTGCGCTATTATTTTTCAGATTACAAACTATTTATTGTAACTCTATGTTATCCATTTGTCTAAAGAATTATTTGTTTAATGGGCGTGCCTGATTACTGTTTGAGTCCAATGCATACTCGGTTTTCTGCTTATTACATGTAAGCTCCCACCGATCATAATACTCAAATATCTTTCCATTGGCCACTTTGCTCTCATGATGACTGTGATTTGCTATTTGGAGTCACTTAGCGCCCACGAATCATCTTCATTTGTCCTGGAATATTTTCTAACAGCAGTCAGCAACGTATAGGCTTCACAGGCAGGATACGAGGATAGATCCCGGGGTACTCCGTAGCGCTGGTGGTATGTTTTGTTTTGACATGATTGTTTTCACCGCGTGTTTGTCAGACGAACAAATAGTTTTCTATAATTTTGATCACTGCTGCTACGTGATGTCGTTGTCCAAGTGCTTCCATGACTTCGGAAAAGTTGCGTTTCATTCGATGCGTTTGATGACATCATGCTGATATTCTGGAATAATTTTACTGATACTAGGCATACATCATTGGAACACTGTATTATATATATATATATACAGAGTTTGTCCGGAAAGTAGTAGGACTCATTCCTTCCGCCAAAGTTTTGAACTCAGACCATCGACTAAGTATTCGCTAAATTGCCCAGATGTTAAATTTACCAAAATCTGTGGTTCATGACATTGTGACACAGCATTTGAACATGCGCAAGGTGTGCGCGAAGATGGTCCCAAAAATGCTCACTGACGACCAGAAATTGCGGCTAGTGAAAGAGTGCCAAAAAAATTTGAACATGTGTTTAAAATGACCCCCAATTTTTGAATAACGTAATCACAGGTGACGAGTCGTGGATCTTTGAGTATGATCATGAGACAAAGAGGCAATCTTCCTAGTGGCACACGACGGTGTCTCCTCGCCCAAAAAAGGGAAGAATGAGCAAATCCAAAGTGAAAACGATGCTCATTGTCTTTTCTGACATCAAAGGCATCATCCACCATGAATTTGTTCCTCCTGGACAAACCGTCAACGCCAAGTTTTACGTGGAAGTGTTCAGGAGACTCAAACGAAGGGTCAGTCGGGTCCGACAAGACATCGCAGCCGACTGGAAGTTGCACCACGACAACGCCCCGGCTCACACCGCCTTTCTTGATGTGGCCACCCCGGACTTTTTTTTGTTTCCCCGCCTGAAAAGACCGATGAAGGGCAATCATTTGAGACGACAGAGGGGTTCCAAGCAGCATGCACCGCGGCTCTCAAGGCTATTCCGGAGAATGCCTTCCGTGACGCCTTCAATGCTTGGAAAATCGCGCTGGCAGCGCTGCATCGACGCAGAAGGAGCCTATTTTGGAAGTTTTTAAAGAATTGTAACGATTGGCTCAATATTTTTTTTAAATCGACTCAGTCCTGTTACTTTCCGGACAAACCCTGTATTATATATATATATCCTTGCGTGGACGGAATATTACTCATAAACAAATACATTTTGAGAAAATATATTTATGGCATGTTATACATGACATCTGAGAAGCACATTTCTAAAATATTGGCAATTATACATGTCAAAGCTGTGATTTTTAAATGGAATGCCTGAAATTTTATTGCATATTTTGATAAATCAATTTAAAATAAGAAGACTGATATAACATACTATGGAGTTTTGGTAACTAGCTACTGAGGTGTGTTTTGTCCAGAAAAACCGTCCACTTCGGCCACGCCTCAATCCGCCATTTTGAAATTTGGAGTGCTGAATTTTGTATAATAATATACGCACCTCTTTATCTTATTTGTTGATTTTTTCTAATTTTCATTTCTGCTCATACAGGGTGGTCAAAAATGCGAGTTGTACTTTTCTCCAGAATCTCAAATGCATCACCCTGTATATTTGTGCAGGTTCGGACTCAATTTTTTATATGCTTTTTTTTGATACTAGACATATACGGGTTTTTACGGCTATTTTTTTGGTTATTAGCACGTCTTTTATGGAACGGCTTAATTCCCTAAAATATCGCATCATCGTTGGAAACAAATAAATTGTTGATTAGTTACAAACTGTCAAAATGAGCTGTGTGAGCATTATAATAAAAACGTGTTTGAAAACGAATTTTTCTAAAGAAGAAGATCAGATTTGACCACAACCATAACCTTCAAGGTCATATTAAGGTCAAGTTACTTTCGATGAGACGCTCAGTTTTTGAAGTAAAAAAGGTGACACAGTCGTCTACAATAGTCGAATGGCTATGGACATTGAAAATAATGAACCGACCGTAAAGGTCAAGTTATTATCTGTATTCACCATTCCCAATAACAAATCTTGACAACGACCTTCAAGGACACTTCAAGGTCAAGTCACTTGTTTTCAATAAAACGCTTTATTTTCGTCTCCGCAAAGAAAAGGAGTAGAACATTCCAAAGTTGGGCCCTCGAATACCATGTATATTTTTTTTATTTTGTAGTTTTGGTTCAGGAGTAAAGGTTTGTTCTTGCATGTCTGGGCACCCCTACACGCTTCATAGCATTTCTAAGAGCCCTTTTGACAAGGATGCTCTAGAGACCTTATTCCTGAAGTTTGGGCAATATTCACCGGAGACTGATTTCCGTAAGGTTTGTCCACCCTCCAATTTCCATTTCTTCTAAAGATACAAATTACATTATCATCCTACCATTTATTTAAACTCACCTGCCACCATCTGGCAACGTCGCATTGCTCACAAATGGCGAAAGGGAGTTCTCTTCGCCCGTACAAGATTTTTTTCATGTTTTTTGGGTCATTAGGAACGAAAATGGCCTATTATCTAGGTTGACCGTTTTCGAGTCAAGCGATTTAATGTCTTGAAACCCTAAAATTGGGGCTACTCCGTTAAAATTTATAATCTATCAGACAGCCAAGTATCTAAATTAAAGTTTAAATCTCTACAAGATACCGGGTAGTCTTTTGACATTAGTTATTTAAAAGCGGTTTTACCCTTGTTTAAGCCAAAACTGGCGAACATTTGAATTTCGCAGACTAGATACCGGGCCACAGCCCATGTCGGACCTACAAGTTCCAAAACATTTTGTATAATAATTTATCGTTATTACAAAGTTTCGTCCTCAATTAGCCTGGGAAGTAAAATCGTGATTATTTATCTCTTACATAGTCTTATGTAATTTTCTTTGACAAGGTGTGATAGTTATCACTTGTAAGATCAATTTTTCCAAACAGATATTCTAATACCTGAAAACCAGTATCTTCTACAGCATATATCTCAAAACGGGCAAAGAATTCACACTTTTCACCGTGATAATTCTCATTCCATTGAAATTAACTATACTAAGTGACATATAAAATCCGAACACCCAGTTTAAATGGTTTTATTTTAATAAAAGTTGGTGAATGTATACCTATATCTTACTGTAAATAACAAGTGAAAAAATTTTCAGCCTTAACAGTTGGACATTCCGGTTTTTATACTGCTTTTTTTAATTCACTAACGCTCTAAAAATGAATATTTCAGCCGCAGTAAAGAATCAACGTTGGCGGATTTTTGTTCTTGACATCCTTTACGATCGGTTACGATGCCTAGAGTACGGAGACCTGTACGATTTCGTCAACTTAGTGAGTATGATAGGGGCCGTATAGTGGGACTTCGGGAAGCTGGACTTTCTTTTCGGACAATTGCAGTTAGAGTGCAAAGAATTGTAGACACTGTGGTTAGGTGTTGTCAGGAATGGCTTCGAGAAGGCCGTACGCAAAGAGCAAGGGGCACTGGACGCCGCCGTAGAACAACAGACCGTGAAGATCGCCGCCTAAGATTATTGGCCTTAAGGGACCGTTTCTCCACTACCAGGTCCATTGCAAATAAACGGTTTGCAGAACACGGAAGACCTATTGGCATGCGAAGTGTTTACCGACGAATGAGAAGTTTTGGCTTGTTTTCATACCGGCCACACTGGGTCCTCCCTTTAACTCGAGAAAACCGACGTAATCGCCTTGAGTGGTGCAGACAACGGTCACTCTGAGATCAGGAATGGAAGAGTATTGTCTTTAGTGACGAGTCTTGATTTTGTTTAGGCATGCACGATGGTCGTGCCAGGGTTAGAAGGCGACGTGGTGAAAGGAGGAATCCACAGTTTTTTGTTGAAAGACATGTTCATCACACTGTTGGAGTTATGGTTTGGGGTGCTATAGCTTATGGTTCCAGGTCACCTTTAATCTTCATCAGAGGTAACATGAACGCGCAGCGTTGTATCCACGAAGTTCTAGAACAAGATAATGCCCGACCACAGGTTGCAAGAGTCACAATAGACTTCTTTCAACATAATGATGTCACATTGTTACCATGGCCACCAAGATCTCCCGACTTATCCCCAATTGAGCACGTGTGGGATATGATGGGTAGGAGATTGCTCAATTTGCAACGTCCTCCTCAGACTCTAGAAGCACTTCGAGAGGAGTTGGTGGTTGCCTGGAATGAGATACCACAGGAGGACATTGACCACCTGATCAGAAGCATGCCTAGGCGCGTTGGAGAATGCGTAGCACATCAGGGTGCATCCACACATTATTAAAGGTCAAAGGGCTTTAAAGCAGTGCAATCATTTTGAAATTTTATCATTTACTTATTGTGCTTCATTAAGTACTTATACAAAATTTTATTAAAGTAAAACCATTTAAACTAGTATATCTAACGGTATATCACTTACTACTATCCGTCCCAAAACACCCATGCTCCTTTGACGGGCCTCGGTGAAGCCTTCAAGCCAAGGTTATGCGATGACAGAAAAATACATTGATGAGATTGTGTTGATGAGGGTTTGGTGTCGGTTGAAGGGTGGTAGTTAGAACATTGCTGAAAATTAGCTCAATTATTTTATATCACATGCGGTGTAAGGTTTAGAGGGAATTTCGTTTAATAACAACGACCATAGTGGTAGAACAAACCCTCATTAAAGCTGGATACTACGGATCAAAATCACTATTAATTATTTAAATTTATTAAAACTAGACATTAATTTTAAGATATCTATCTAAAGAATCATATTAATTCATAGAATATTCGGATGATGAATGTCCCTTTATTCCATAAGATCTTAAGCCATAATATCTTATTATCTGCGCTATGTCTGTGTAAGACAGCATCTGCTTTTCATGCATTTTCGATGGCAGCGACACAGATACTCTTTCTCATTTATTAAACGTCGGACACATCCGTATCTGTCCAAGATTAGGTTTTAAAATTTAACTCACATTTCACTCTGTTTTA